TGAGTCTGGAGAAGAAGATTTTTGAAATATTGATTATTTTTCCCTTTGGGGCCCCGCCCTGGCCCCAGGGGTTGGGGTAGGAATCCCAATTTTACAATTTTGAAGCCTCATCTACCAAGGATGATTCTGACCAAGTTTGAAAAAAATCCATCCGCTGGTTCTTGAGAAGAAGTTGAAAATGTAAAAGTTTACGCACGACACACGACGGACGACGACGGACGAAAAGCGATTAGAATAGGTCACTTGAGCAAAGCTCAGGTGACCTAAAAAGCTTATTTGGAGCTTCCTATAGAGTATTGGAATATCCTTATGGCTTATTTGAGTATTCAAAGGTGTAACACAACACGAGTAACATCGACTGTGTTACAAAGGGCATTCTAAGTAAGTTGAGAACTCAAAGAAACATCCCAAGGGCTTATATTCTGATCATTTAGTGTATCTGAAGGGCTCCTATGGAAGGTCCTAAGGGGGCTGGAAGCCTCACCATGCTCAATTAGTGTCTGTGCTCGAGTGAATCTACCATGCAACGCTGTCATATGGAGTGGGGTACGTCCCTCAATGCACTGAAAGAAAGATGGAGAGCTAGTTGTCATGGTAACAGGAAAACACAATGGCAGACAGTAACACACATCATAAGTGGGCATAGACACAAGACGGCACACAGCGACACTGGTCGTCACGGTAACAGGTGATGTAGTTTGTCAGTAACAGGGACAAACGATATATGGGTTGTTAAATGTTAAGTTCAACAATTCTCCGTAATCATGTTTCTGGAATCTAGATGGTTAGTTTGCTGAAAAAAAGGTTACAGGCTAGGGGCTGTGCAGGCTACCAGATTTGGACAGACATACTACATACAAAACAGGTCATCAAGTCTTATTTCTGATTTTGATTTTTTTCAAAAGTCATTTAATGTCAGCTTCTTGAAAATAGCGTTATGATGCTTCATATTTATTTGTGATCAGCAACTTTTAACAAGAGTCCTTAGAGTACACGATACCCCCCGTCTCCAACTTTGTAAAAACAAAAGTGCAATAATTTATTTCTTTTTGTGAATAGATAACGTACAAACTGTGCTATTTTTTTTAAAGTTTATTCATGAGACCAGTAACCATTGAGGCCTAATAATTTTGTACTAGAGAGGCATGTTCTGAAGGTACTAATGTACTGTGGTTACTGGAGTAGTTACTGGAATGGTGACTAAAGGGAGTCTTTTGATTACCCATACAACAACTTGAAAAAGATCAGGAATTATCAATATCTGGCAATTTGAAACCTGATTGACATTTCCAGTCTCAGGCAATGCATTATAACAATATTAGATGGATATGAACATTCATATCTGCCACAACTTTCAGCTGAAGAAATCAATTTATCTGACTGTCAAATTACCTTTTGTCATTTTTGTCTTACAAAAGGTCTTGTTAGCAGATCTACCACACACTTTTGCTTAAGTAAGCAAAATTCTGTCATCAAAAACTGGTTTTCACTTTTGATATAATTCATTACCTGCTTTATTCACATGAACACATTCAGTTCCAACACAAATATACCTGTGAAGTATACTTAATATATCATCTGATTACTACAGCATTTAATGGCAGATATGAAATGTTGTAAAATGTACAATCATGATAAAACAATTGAACCCTGACAGGAAAACTGACCAGAGCAAGCTCTGAATGTAAACATTTCATATTTAAAAGTAAATATTATACATTATATTGTTTTTCTCCATTTTAACAGAGTGGTACCTGATGATCTCGGACAAACCTCAGGGTCTTGACTAAGATGTCAAAGGGTAGTTAGCAAGGTTTTGGCTTATCATTTCTTTCCTTGAACTATTAATGGAACCATCAAGAGATAATTTAAGATTTCATAAATTTGGTGTTAGAATATTCCTTTTTTCATTCAAGTGAGATGTATATTAAGCTTAACCAAACCTCAACAAGAGTTCCTTGGTATGTTTAATATAGTACAGTTAATATAATGCTCTGTAGCTATTCAGTGTTCCAATTAAGCCATAGATAAAGTTTTCAGTCAGGGTTCAAAATGTCCTTTTTAGTAGTTGATACATAGTATTAGATAATACACATTTAGGATTAAACATCTTTCTTGCAGATCAAGCAGAACGATCAGTGAAAGTATAACAAGACCTTGCTGCAATGGACGAGTCAGACAAGTGTCGGACATTTTAGCCAGATAAAACATCAAAGATTACAAAATATGCGATATGTTGACTAGTTCATTGTAGGCAGGTTTTGCTATACAAATCATACAAACAGCAGCAGTCTGACAGTGTCTATAATAATATGTCTGAACAGAAAGGGACCATTAGGGGGAGGAGGAGGACCAATCCGTGCAGGGCACACATACTGATGGGGGTTTTGGTTTCCCTTTTGCAGGTCCCTTCTCCTGGTTTTGTTGATTCAGCAGTGGGAACCTGTATCTTATAAAATATCAAACATGAATTCATGTCTCATAATGTGACAATGTAACATTAAATTACATAGAATATCAACACCCCTTACTCTTAATGAATCTTTACCATAATTTTTTACAGGCCATTAGTTAATTACCTACATCTTATAATAGACCCAAATATCCATTGGTGATTTTTTCCATTACTGTATTTGTCTGGCAATTAGCCCATGTCTGGTTATATTCATTTGGTAAATCCACCCATAATTACTTAAAATTTAGTAGTAGAAATTGTATTGCTAGTTTTGTAATAAGTCTTTTCCCCAGACTTTGAGTTATACTTAATTTAGAATTATCCCTCTGGGCTTATAGCAGGATAAAAAGATAGTTCTGACTGAGTTTGTGTATAGGTTGTTATCAAAACAATATCTGAAGTTTAGAGACATTTTCCATTGAACATCACTGTTCATTCTAGTACAGGACCATTTTGTACATTCAAACAGCTTGTTTGTTTTATGACCATTAGTACTTTGATGAATGCCATAAATTCTATCACAATGAGGTAAAATTATCTCTTCATTTAATTATGAGAAGTTCTTTTTACAAAACCAATAAGATTTTCTATGTGACGTTTCGATGACTAGTACGATATGAAAAGAAAGTTCTGACTGAGTTCGTGTATAGGTTGTTATCAAAACAATATCTGAAGTTAAGAGACATTTTCCATTGTACATCACTGTTCATTCTAATACATATGTACACTGTCACCTTCATCAGACAAATGAGCAGTGAAGCGTATGCACACAAAGGTGTAAATTCTGTAAGCGTATGTATGAATTTGACTACGCTGTAAGCGTATGTATGAATTTGACTACGCTGTAAGCGTATATATGAATTCGACTACACAGTAAGCATATGTATGAATTTGACTACGCTGTAAGCGTATGTATGAATTTGACTACGCTGTAAGCGTATGTATGAATTTGGCTACGCTGTAAGCATATGTATGAATTGACTTGATTTGGTGGACAACTCGTACACATTTTACACCTTTGTGTGAACACGCTTCACTGGTATAAAATAGTTAAGTCAATATTTTGTTTCCATCTTTGTATTAAGATTTTTCTTGAAATATTAAGCACATAAAGCACATGTACAAAAGATTACTTTAAAATCTGTTAACATGTAACATATTCAGTCAAATATTCTACAATGAAACTTCTTCAATTTTATGATTAGAATTTTCAAAAACTTGAAATATTTTAAAGATATATTGCAATATTATTTTTATTAGAACAGTTATGTATAAATGTTACCACAATATTTAACACAATTAGGAACAAGTACTAGAATGTCATCACTTTCTTTCTATTCTGAAATCAATCAGTATTGATCAAGGAGTTAAAATTTAGTTCAGCTATGATGTAATGACAGGTACCTGCAGTTTTGTACTTGCGCCCTCTGTCACCAGGATTTCGAGACAAATTCCGCCGTGTGTGGAAGAGGCTGCATAGTGCAGTGGTGTCTACAACATGATAAACAGTTGTCAACATCGTCCTATACATCATACTTCTACTTTATATTAAATATAAATGTCTAAACATAAGGTACAAAACCATCAATTATCACCAAATTTCTCCTTCTATGTTAAACAATACCCTACAGCAGATTCCTAACAGAAACAACGTAATATTGACTTACATAATTAAAAATTTATTATCTTGACCAAAAGGTTTAGACAAAACCATGTGTAATCTATGCTTGCTTGAAAGGTAAAATCTTACCATCCCCCTATTGTTGACTGCATTGATAGATGCACCATAGCTCAACAGCTCACTGACCACCACATCTTGGCCATTGAGACAGGCTATGTGGAGGGCTGTGTTGCCATGGATATTTACAGCGTCCACTTCCACACCCAGTTCCAACAGAAGCTTGACAACACTGACTTGACCGCTGGCTGATGAAGCATGTAGAGGCGTGTACATCTGTAAAAATGGCAGTTTTAATTGTAATCAGTAGAAATTCAAACGTTTTTTAACAACGCCGACAGTAACACAGATGAAATCTTAGCAGCTACATCATGTGATTTCCAGAAGTGAAATTGTGTCTATGAATTGAAAGGTGAGGTATTATATATGATGCTAGGAAGAGTGTAGACTGGCATAAAGCAAGTGTCGCTGAGGAAAGAGTTCAATTTGAGATTTTTCACAAATTAAATCAGTTACAGATAGATTGCATAATGTCTACACAGGTTTATCATGATCATGTAAATTAAATACAAGATGTCCATGATGATGAAAACAGAGTCACACCTGTTTGTCCCTACAGTTGAGTTCTGCCCCTTTCTCCACCAGTAGACTGACCACCTCTGTGTGGCCCATGTAGGCTGCCCAGTGGACAGCACGCCGGTCCTTCTTGTCAAACGCATTAATGGTGGCTCCCTTCTCAAGGAGAAGTTTGGTCATCTAGTGAGAAAAAATACAAATTAGCAGTACTATACACGAGTTAAAACAACCTACAAAACTGTGACTAGGATCAATCTAACCTGTCATTCCAAAGAATATAATCTTTACCATTTTCAGATCCGAGGATTATAAAGTCACATAAATTAAAGATCAAGTGTAAAATATGGTAAACACATAGTACATTAGTTGATATACCAAGCTACAGCCCATTCTGGTTCCAATTTCATTACAAGGCGTGACATTCTTATTGTTTCACGAACCCTGAGCCAGATCATTCATGGTAGCTTTGTGAATAGCTCCTATACTTGATTCTATGGACAGTCAGTTTACAATAAGACATTAATATCATTTATTGTCCTCCCATTATCCATTTTTTACTTTGATATGTAAAATGTCTTCTATTTTATCATAGTCTAAGGCTATGGGGTTACTGGTTACTGCTATTTTGCACACTGGGTTTACCTCCTTGTGGCCATTGAAGCAGGCATGGTGGAGACTCGTCCGTCCTGCCCGGTCGGAAACATTAACATTGGTAAGTAGTGGAGCTAGGTACTCCGCACATCTTACAGCATTGTTGGCAGCAGCAATGTGTAGCGGTGTCTGCCAGTTCTTATCCCGGGCATTCACATCTGCTGAGTGACGAAGCAGTGTCTCCACAGTCTCCTGTTAATTATAAAAAAAAGAATATAGAAAAAAGGATATTGCTGTATATCTGTGAATGTGAATATAAGCTATTTAAGATATTGTATCCAGGAAAATATTAAATTCTTGGTGCAAAAACATGCCACCCTCCCTCTATCTAATTACATTTATTTCTAGAATACCTCTGGGAATAAAAAATGAAATACATCAAACTCCTGCCAATATTTCAAATGAAAAATACTTCCAAAACTACTCTAGCACTCTTTTGTTTTGTTCAAACTTCAGCTCCTTGTTTATAACAGATTTAAGTCTACACTGATAATCTTTCTAAATACATGTATGAACTAGCAAAGCTCTTCACTTTTCAAGTTTCCCCTTATTTCCCATAGCAAACACATCTTCTCTTATAATAACATCACATGGTCAAGCTATCATCAAGGGGAGTAACCCTTATAAAAAATGTTCTGGTTTTGTCTCACCACTTCACATTAGAAACATAGAAATAGATGACGCTGGAAAGACAAGCGTGTTTTATTACAGTAAACACAATATTTGAGAAGAAGCAAAGTAAGGTTTTAAATTTGTGTCGGTGGTAATTATATATAAACAGAGAGAAGTTGTAAAGTTTCATTAACATTGAAAACGTTTGTTCTTGTAATCATTGTAATAACTCATCTGAAGCTCAATTGCAAATTAATTTTCATATCTGTATAAGTGATCTAAAATATTGATGCAATAAGTAACTCATCCTCCAAAATAACTTCCTTACGTCACTTTTAGAGGAGCATGCCCTGTGGAGTGGTGTGAGCCACTTATTGTCCTTGGTGTTGACTCGGGCTCCACTCATAATGAGAAGGTCAGCAATCTCTGCCTCCCCGCAGTAAGCCGCGGCGTGGAGAGGACTCCGCTTCTCTGTGTCCTGCAGGGTGAAAATCATAATTGATTACATGCAGCAACACAATTGTACTCTCTTCCATAAAATGTTTCATTTTCACCATGCTTTATTTGAGCTATTTTATAGATATATACTAAACAAATTTTTGAAAGTTGCAATTTTCCCAAACCTGCTGGTAATGACATGGACATCTGTGCAATGCATAGTGCCTACTATCTCAAACGGACAGGTTATATAAACTTGGTCATCCTTTATTAGTTATGTGACCATTCACTTACACTGGTACTTTATGACTATATTTATAATTAATATAAAATAACATATCAATAAGTATGGCAATGTACCTGGTAATTGACATCTTCTTTTTTGTAAAGAAGGGCTCGAACCTCGTCTGGGTCTCCATGGAAACAGGCTTGTACCATAGGAGACTGTTTAAAGAGAAAGAACATAAATTTTAAAATGTGGCTACAGCTTGCTTAAACTACAGTGCAATATTACTTCAATACTGGATGGGCAAGTAACAGTAAATTTGTCCAGCAACACACTAGAACCGTAACTACAGTCTGTAAGTAAAGCAAATGAATAGACACCAGTTTTGTTTATAAAACGTATGGAAATTATAATAAGTTGATGATACATCAGAGAGAGGAGTTACATAATTCAGATATGAATTACCTTAAAAGTGATGTCACACCCACTACCTAACATATGCCTGATACAACTGCTCAGTGAATAATGAAGAAATGTATTTCTAATATGCAACAAAACATTTTTTTGTATTATAATTTCCACTAAGGAACAACTATATTGTTGTGTTAATATATATACATATGGATCTTACTTTTATAATAAACTGTAGTTCTGAGCTACCTGCTGAAGCTAATCTATATTTTATTAACTACTGAAAAATTAATCAATGATTATTTTTTTTTTATAAATAAGTTTGACTGTGCCCATGCTTAACATTATGTAACTCTGTTTCTTTATAGTAAAATGTAAATTGTTCACATGTACACTGTACCACTATTTAGGCATTTGTTCTGTTGCTGATTGAATGTTTGATTGGTATATTGCTGACCATGTATGTAAGGTGTAACTGGAGTGTATGATGTAATCGAATATGTAAATGCAAGCTTGTATATGTCAGTATATAAGTTAAAGCTCTGATGTGGTAATTTCCTATCAAGTATATAATACTTATCTGAACTCCTGCATAAATATTTGTTGTGCCTCTATCTCAAATCCATATGATTAACATTGATAATGGCTACCTATTAAAGTGTCTTTATAATTATACAACAGATAAATTTTTTCAGCTTTGAATAATGGTCATGTATGTATGTTGCGATATAGAATGTACAAGAGAAAACTGATACAGTATTTGTCTGTTATCTAATGATCTATTTGTATGCTAAAATAAAATTTCGTAAATAAAAATATGTTAATGTGAATTTTTCTTTATTGATGAGATACAAGTGCCATTCTGTGTTATTATTTTATGTCCAAACTATTACTGTAAGTATAAACATACATAAACAATTACACAAATTATATGAGTTTGGACAGTACAATGCAATATGTAATTCATATTGCATTGTAATGTTCAAACTCATACAATTTGTGTAATTGTTTATATATGTAGTGCATTTTAACAGAAATGAGATGATTAACATAGACCGAGTCTCAGATTGACTAGATCTGTTACAATTATGGTTCCATACTTGACAACTCTCCCTATTTAGGTGGTGGACTCCCAATTCTGGAACATGTAGTTTAATATTTCTTCCAACCAGTGAATTTGCTAAACTATTCCTTTATTCTAAGATCTAATTATTTCATCTGAAAGAACAACCCAGAATGTACCATTTAAAGGATTAGTTTGTCTCTATGGGGTATATACACACATTCAATTATGTTCTTAATTTTGAGCATGCAGACCTCCCCCCCTCCCCCCCCCCCAAGAAAATTTCAAAAGGTTGACAAGTATGTATATGTGGTTCCTAATTTTAGTGTACAAAAGTGACAGGGTTGTGAAAGGGAGGGGGCATATGTACTTCAGGTAAACACTAGTTATATGACAGCTGCATGTACAATATGGAAAAAATTAAACCGGTGTTATGTGCTGTTTCTGTTCCTGTTCCTGATCACTGCATGTCTGACCAGCAGACTGGTACTGGTCCACATATATCGCTTTCATCAAGCTAGAAACATGTAGTTTATGAGATACTATTTCTCTCTTGATTCAATTGGTTTTTTTATATGCATGTCACATGATAAGGGTCATATGAATTTCTGATAGATAGGGAAACTCTCACAGTAGTAAAAACAATATGCAAAAACACTGGTGGGCAGTTTTTGACTGTATATCAGACGAGCGGGTTCTAGTCAGACGATATCCCCTTGATGAAGGATGTGAAATTTCAGAAGTTTCCACCAAAATTTACCAATCTTACAACATGTAATGAAGTTGGCTTAAAATAACTAGTGATTTATCTTCATACCAGAAGTAATATCCAATACCGCCCTAAATGTAGCACATGATCACCAAATCATGTGACTTTTTATCTGGAAACTTGCATCTTGGAAACAATGTATTGAAATTTCAGCCATTACCATCGAATGATCACAAAGTTGGTTTATACTGATTAAACGTCACGCTTGAAGCATACATATGTGTAAAAGATATGCATGATAAGGTTGCCTTACAGCGTTAGATGTAGGGAATTTCCCTTCAGCTCAGTGGTAGAGTGTCGGGCTAGAAAGCCAAGGGTCGAGGGTTCAAGGCCCAAGCAACAATATATTTACACTATTTCTCGTCCTGCTACAAACTGGTGCCGTTGACCCTCCCTGTTCAAGGTAGGAGATCGAACCTGGGTTGGTGTTTGAAAAAAGGAGGTAATAGTGTAAAGATGTGCATTGATTAGGTTGCCTTACAAGCGTCAGCTGTAGCCCCAGCGACGGCACTATTTTTATCACTATTCCTCGTCCTACTACACATGTCCCACTGATGTGAATGCAAAATCATGTGACATTTGTTCTTGAAACTTGTAAATCAGAAATGACTTATTTACAGCATTTTGTATGGTAATTTATTAATAGGATTTATTACGATTATAAGTGAATGCAGGAATCAATACATAGATACTTATTTTTCCAGGTTCAGCCGGATTGTACATATGCATGCTATCATGTAATGATGGGGAATGTGTAACGTCACACTACCACAATTGGTACAATTTCGACAGTTTTTTAGTGATCTTTAAAAATTCAGATCTTGTATCTGGAATGTTTCTTGATAAAGACTACCTATGGTGGTTCATTTTCAGGAAAAGTTTTATATTTAAGTAATTTGTTTTTGAAAATAGAACACTAAACTCGGAATGAGATTTTGGCCGTTTTTCGGCCGTAAATAGTACCCAAATTGGTACACCATATCCCAGGCTATGGAATTTGTTTTTATTTCTACAAGTTGATGTGGCGATTACATCAAAATATATTATTTTTATAGATATCGTACTGAACTATAAATGTATACATTTACTTTTATATAATCTGAATATAAGGACCAGAAATCAACATTTAAACATGCTTATATTTAACCCCTTGAAAATCCTCCAAAATTTCGTTGACGTACATCGTTTTTACTGGTTTTCTGATATGTTTACTTTGAAGTCATCGTGTACTCTTAAAATGCTCCTGAAAACAAAACTATTAGGTAGAAATGCTCTTTTGTTATACTGTCAAAGGAAAATGCTCAAATTTAAGTACTACTTGAACAATTTTATGACCGTGTACCAATTGTGGTAGCATGACGTTACTTCCAGTATACAATGAAAATCTGAGAGTTGCACAAAACAATATGCAAAAATCTGGTATACAGTTCCAGACTGCAGGTCTTACAACAGGGAACTAGTCAGCTGATATCCCTTTCTTAAAGAATATGAAATTTCGATAAATTTTGTCTAAATTTACCAACGTTTTATTTTGACAAAGTTGCTACTGAATTATTTAAGTATACATGACCCCCCCCCCCTCCCTCCCCAAATATACTATGGGACAGCCAAATCATGTGACTTTTATTCCAGAAACTTGTTTCTCAGAAATTCGGAATCAATGTAATATCCATCTATGTGTAATAGGACAAGGAATAGTGATAAAGAGAGTGCCGTCGCTGGGGCTCGAACCCACGACCCTTGGCTCTCCAGCCTGATGCTCTACCGCTGAGCTGACGGGAAATTCCCTACAGCTAACGCTTGTAAGGCAACCTTATCAATTCACATCTTTTACACTATTCCTCCATTTTTTTCAAACACCAACCCAGGCTCTTTGACTCCTCGTCAAGGGTTCTCCTACCTTGAACGGGGAGGGTCAATGGCATCAATTTGCACCATCTTTTACATATCGTATAAGTTAACATTGATTTGAAGTATTGCCATTTGTGAATTTGTATATATAGCTAACCTAGATGATTATATTTCAGATAAAGATTTTTTCCAATGACTGTCCAAACTAATTTCAAACTCTGTAACTGTTGTTGGATGTGTGGCTCCCTCTAGATTAGCAAAAACCTAGAACACCTTCTTTTGTTATGATCAATAGCAGTGTTTTGTATTTTATCTGTGCTGGTATGACAGTTCCTTATCTGGTAGATTTCTTCATGACAAAAGTTCTTGGTCATAGTGGTCAAGATGAGAGTATCGTTCTGTTTACGAAACATGTGTCAATTTTTATGAAATTAACCCATATCATTTCCTGGTGTAAACAAATGTCGAAATATACAAAACACGCGCTTATAATATTCCATATTCGAACGCTTATATCAGTCTGACGACTTATTGGTTCATGCGAATAAAGGGTCGAACACATATTTTAGTAAAGGGCATCGAACTTTTTCAAACTCCAGCGGGTCATTCAGTATATTGAATGGAATACCTGTACAGACACCTTTCAACATTGAAGGTATCACCGCCATATCGGTTATGAAGACACTATTCATACCTCATCTTCGAGCTGTTGTAGTACTAAAGTTCCCAACTTCATTTGCACTCTATATCTTCTGCATTAAATTGGCAGACGGTGTGCCAGTCAAACTTTTCAAGCTCAACAGGAAACAGGTTCACCCCTTAGCCGCCATATTTGTAGCATTCCGCAGTTACGATAGGTCAACCACGGCATGTGATTATTTTTCTCCTTCCGCTGCAAAACAAGGTCGACAACTTCTCACAAAATGTAGGTCATGTGCATCGAACCGTTAAATCTCCCTTTGTAATCAATTTAAATACCGACAACTAGGGGAATCGTGTTTCAAATACATAACTCGCAACTCTAAGCGAGTAGAATTAAATATATACAGGCTGAATTTTCAGGCGCCAGAAACCTGTTGGCAGTTTTTTTACTTTACTTAGGTAACGCAACGTTACCGTAAGGCATAAGTAGATTTTCTATTTGTAAACATGTTACGTTAGAATTCAACGTAATGCTATTTTAACCAAGGATTTGGAAGGTTACTTTGTTGGACTGTACACCGGTATGTGGTTTACGCTCTAGGGCTTTCTAACGCAGGGAGTGGCACTCAGGACGGACCCGGGGAGGCGCTTCAAGATTCCTCCCGTATACGTATCTCACGGTACAAATTAGCTAGATCTAGTACCCCTAAAGTGTTCACCCCACGCGTGGCATATTTCACATATTTTATTGATAAAAATGCAGGGGCGGATCGAGGAATTATCTTTTAAAGGGGCCGTGGAGGGGGTTGGACCGTTCCAACATCCCCCCCAAACTTAGCTCTTGGTACATATGAAGGCCTGTACGTTACACGTACCCAGTGATTTGTGTGGAAGTCACAGGGCATCCCTAACAGAAGCTTAAGGGAAAATAGAGATTTAGAAGTTCTTATACCAAGTGCCATTGGCATTTTTTTAGCGTAATTATTTTCGGTGATCTCAATTTATTGGATTTTTAAATAGGCCTAGTAACTTTCAAAATTGGCTCAATGGAAACTCAGTAATGTCAAAACAAAGTAATGGACCTACCGTACGTATTATTGACCCTGGTGGGATTTGTACTGTAAACATATACTGAAATAAAACCATTCGTCTTTGATCGAGCGAAGCAACCTTTTCCCGTAGTATACCCCAACGCCTTGCGATAATTTGAAATACAAAAAAATAAAAATAGAATAAAATCTTAGCTCCAATTGCGAAATAATAAGAACATAAAAAGGTATTCAAGTTAATATTTGTCCAATTCTACTCTCACAATATGCAGATGATACCACTTTGGCTTTAAATGGCACTGACCGATATCTTAAGGTTGTACACCTCTGAGAAGTCAAAAATTTCCTGTATTAAACTTTTTTTCTTATATGGATTTTTGGAAAAAGGAGTTAATGGCATAGTAGAAAATGCAAAAAAACTATTTGTCGGTGTGCTAGTTTTTGTGCTATGATCGGTCAAAGATACCAATTTAACACAAGATGTGATTTCAGGTGATTTTTTGGGTTTTGACCATTTGCAGAACAAATTCATATAATTTCTTCCAAGTGTGTTATCAGATATGTATGAATGTTTGTTGAATTGATGAAAATATTATTTTCTTTTAATATTATGGAAGTAAAATTTCTTAATCTTATTCTTTTAACTCAGAAAGCCGATATTAGTTACCCCTACCCCCTATTTTTTAATGAACAAATACTCATTTTTTTACCATTTTTTGCAGATTAAACGCTTGATATAAAAAGTTCTGCTATTAAACTTTTTTTAATATTTAATGAATTAAAAGAAAATGTGTTTCTCTTTCTAAAACATCCACAAAAATGGGGGGTAGGTGTGCTTCTCTTTTTGTCCCATTATCATTTGTGTTATTTTTTACCTTTTTCGGGGTCAAAAATCAAAAGTGCTTCAGTTACACTAAATATGTATAAAAAATATCCATAATGTATAATTTTCCAGTTTGTTGCATATCATTTTTATCATATTAAACATTATAAAGTTGTACAGCAAAATTGAACATGCTACAATTAAAAATGGCGACACAATGACAACTTAAGTGATCAATCTAGTGTCAAAAAAGGTGATTTTTTTGCCTTTTTTGAAGCCCAATAAATACACATTAATAAACATTTTCAAAATGGCCGCCAAATTGGTAATTTTTTAAAATTCTTGTAAAAAAAGTTCTACAAACAACAGACATCTAGTTTTTGACATATTTTTCAGATGCGTGTTTGCTAATAAACTTGATCATAATTTGTTAAATATTACAAAAACCCGTTACACCAGATCAAAACGAGACTTGAACGTGATTGAAACCTCAGAAGAGTACATCCTTAAAGAATCTGTTAACTAATTATTCCTATGCTAAAATATCTGGTCTAAAAGTTAATGTAACCAAAACACAGGTAGTATGGTTTGGTAGTAAAACATTTAGTGATGACACCTTCCGCCCCGAACTTAACTTGCAATGGGGCAGACACAAATTCACACTCTTAGGGATTGAGTTTCATGTTAACTTGCACGAGATACAAAAAATGAATTTTGACCAAAAAAATGGTAAAATTGAAGTCGTTAATAAAAACCTGGACACGAAGAAATTTAACCCCAATTGGTAGAATCCATATTATTAAATCACTTCTCATTTCACAATTCAACCATCTAGACTATTTATAGCACTTCCAAATCCTGATGAACATTTTCTTTCAAAACTTAATTATATTCTTTTACGAAGTTATTATCCAAGATTACCTTAACGGTGGTTTGAAAATGAGTAATTTAAAAGCATTTATAGATTCATTAAAATTATCTTGGATCAGAAGGCTTTTTCAGACCACAACTAAATGGCAAGCTATTTAAAAAAAGTTGCGTTAACATAGATCTAACTTAATGATGCATTAAAACAATTTTATGACTTGCATAACTTTATTGCTAATAGCAATGGGGAAGCTGCCAGGAAAAAATTGAAAAAGATTGGAAAAAATGGGGAAAATTTACGCAAAATAGGTGTATGGTTTAATGATTAATGTCAGTCAGGTAAAGGCTGTGTGATTAGGTTTATATGTATGACGTGTAGTGAGTAGGGTAGTATGAAATCTGTAAGATGAGTGTTCTGTACAATTACCCATCTTTTCCTGTCATAATTTACAGACTTGTATCTCATTATTTATCATGCGTATGTGTTTGAAAAATCCGAATAAAATTCAAAGTTACCAAAAAAAAAATAAAAAAATCCTACTTCAGGATCTTAAACAGCAAGTGTGGACATAAATGGATCAAAATCTAGCCAAACATCTGTGACAAGACGTGTCCCACAAGGAAGTGTTTTGGGACCAATTCTAGTCCTCATCTACATAAATGATATTCCGGACCAATTAGTCAGTTCAACCAAGCTGTTTGCGGACTTCAAAAATATACAGGCGAGTAGAGAATCAACTAGACCAACACCTGTTACAAAAGGATCTTGACTCCGTGTGTACTTGGACGTCACAATGCTTGATGAAACTAAACTGAAAATGCAAGCAACTCAGAATTGGAAATAAAAAAAAACACCCAGCACAATCTACTATAGAACAAGATCATTCGACATCTATCGTAAGAACTGTCGTAAAGAATCTAGGTATCATCATCGATAATGACTTAAAATGTAACGACCATATATCAGTTTCGGTATCAAAAGCCAACAGGGTCCTAGGCCTAATATTCAGGACATTCACATGTGTAGATGAAAAAATGTTTTTGACATTATATAAGACGTTAGTCAGGCCACACTTAGAATATACGTCCGTTGTCTGGTCTCCAAGTCTAAAAAAGGATAAAATACTGCTGGAAAATGTGCAGCGTAGAGCAACCAGAATGGTCCAGAAAGACCCCGCAAACTAGGATTACCACCCCTGTTATACCGACAGTCGTGGAACACACGCAGTAAATCATGAAAATACGTTCAAAAGGGCACCAATGAACGTAAGAAGAGACAACACAAGGGAATTATTTAAACGGATGACGCGTAAACTTGTCTGCAGCAACAACTTTCTGTAACAGGGTGGAATAATTTGCCAAACAATGTGGTAAATTCTCCAAATCCAATCACTTTTAAGAACTGAATCAATAAGTTTTGGAAAAAACATCAGTTCAAATTCGAGGCGTAGTGCTCTCTGCATACCTGATTATACTTCTCCTTATTCAAGCACACAGGAAGTGTAATTACAATCAAAGTTTTAACTGTATCAAAATGCGCCCTAAAAAGCTATCTGGGCCCAGTTGTTCAAAAGGTGATTAGCTTAATCAGTGATTAGCGCAAATCTTAATTTTTGAGTATCTTTAAGACTCAGCCTTTGAATTAGTTACAACTTTCTAGATATAAAATAGCTAGTAGAGTGAATATACATGCACAATTCTGAGATTTTACCTTGTATATTGACAAAATTATTAAAGGTTGAAAAATGTCGTTAAACTGTGAATAAGCTAACCACCTTTTGAACAACTGGGTCCTGGCGTCTACTACTATGTGAACTTTGAAGGTGAGACCGGGGTAAGTTCGGCTCGGGGTAAGTTCGGTGTAATAAATAACTTGAAATCGTATTCTCTCACTTCGAACAGAATACGTGTAATAACTTCTACATTCCTTTCTGTCCGCTTTACTTATACTTCTGTGGGCGAGTATTTATGATTACCCTCGAAAATGATTGTGGACAGGTAAACGCGTGATTTAGAACACACACTTACATATACTGCGAGAGGTGTAAAGTATATATGTAGACTATATGCTTCATTACAGGCGTGATCAGCTGAACAGTAAACGATATACATGTAAAGTTTATAGTTTATCATATAGCCATCCTCCCCCCGCCCCGTCCCCCCGTCCCCCCGTCCCCTCCAAACCACCATGAAACGGAACAAGATGTGTGCAGTGGACTGTGGTGGAGCGTGCAGAAAGGAGAGGGTGGATTGTAATTTTTTTTACTCCTTCATTCAATAAATTATATAAAACTATTTTAAAACTATGGATTAAGAATTAAGAATTAAGATATAAGAATCGAATTTTTGAACAACTAATTATATGCTTAAATGACAACCACGCTCCTGGTGAAATGATTTCAAAAGACAAGAACTAAAATAATATAATGCTATTTTGTAATCTACGCGCACACCTACATTATTATATATATAGGACC